CGTCTCTTGTTGTCGGTCGGGGTTGAATAACAAGCTTTTAGCAGAATTAAATGAATTAAGTAACTTGACTTCCAATGGATGCTTTGAACAAGACTTCAGACCCATGCAGGTCTAGGTGCACTCACGAAAGAAGAGCTTGAAGATGCTTTAGACACACACCAGATGTCGGCGGAAGAGAGGGCACAGCGACTCGATCAGTGGGCCCAAGCAAGGGCAGAAAAACTTCGTGGCGAACATGCAACGTATTTGTTGCTGCGAAAGGGCATCCTTGTATGTTTAACTCTCTTGTACATTGCTTGCTCTGTACTACTTCCTTATTTGCACAGGGGTGAGGCGAGCTGCTCTCATGGCTTTTTCTGGGAAACTCACATGCAGTTCCTTGGCATTTTTCTGCTCACCAAATGTGCTGAGCTTGTTCTCATGGTGCACGATGACACTGTTTCATGGGAGCAGATTCGAGTAGTGGACTTTCTTCTAAAGTTTTTGCCCTCATTTCTTGGATATTTGGATGGCTACACCGACGCCACAGCCGTCTTTATTGCGGCATCTTGCAATGACACCTTGGCGCAGAGACTGGCTGATGCTATGGGCATAGCATATTTGGTTGGGGTTTGTTTCTTCCAGTGGGTTGTGATGTTCATCCTCTCTGCCAATGATCCTTCACATGCATGCCTTTTGAAGCTTCTCCACATGGATTTGCTGGCTTCATGCGTGACACTGCCAGCCGAGCAACGATGGGTGTGGGATTTGCTGGCGGCCGTCCGTACCATCGGGGAAGACATGCCTCAAGCCATTCTGCAAACCATCTACCTGGTCAAGGTGCAGCGGAACTTCATGTTGCTCTCTGTGATCATGGCGGTTTGTGCCTCTTTGAAGGCCATGCATGACGCTCGTGCAAGAGCTTTGGCTGCTGCTGGTGCGGATGAGGAGTACAACAGACGGGAGCGTGACTTCATGATCTATAGTGGCTCCCAGGATGCAACAATCAAATGTTGGAACGCGTCTTGGTTTGCAACCAGTTCCACGTACAGTACAGTGTGTCAAAACGTAGCTTCAACATGTGTCAATTTGCTTGCCCTGATTTTGCTTTTAAGATCTTTTAAGTGCATTCTTCGGCAAGACCACACGATCAAGGTCAAAGACGGCGTGTGCATGAAAAGCATCTATGCAGGCAGCCCTGCCAATACTGTAGCGGCCTCCAACGGCATGCTTTACACTTCCCATGATAATGATGTCATCCGTGAATGGTCCTTGGAGACTGGCGAGGAGGTGCGCACTTTTTACCATGAAGGCGGCAATGCAGTTGTTCTCAGCACAACAAAATACTTGTTTTCTTGGGCTATGGGCCCGCGATGTGTCTACAAAATGTGGTCACTCGAGTCAGGGGAATGCTTGCAAGAGTTCCCAGCGCCAGACATGTTCAAGGCCACACTTGCTGTTAGAGGAGAGTTTCTCTTCGCAACATCTGCAGAGGATGACTCAGCAGTGTCGCAGTGGAACTTGACTTCAGGCGAACTCATGAACACATTTGGTGGTCACACGGATGAAATCAATGCACTTGTTGCGACACCCAAGAGGCTGTTGACGGGTTCGCAAGATGGCACCGCCAAAGAATGGTCTTTAGTGACCAACAAGTGCACTAGAAGCTTTGCAGATCACTCGTCACACTTTGTTGCCCCGCTGATTGTCGTGGCTGACAAGCTCTACAATGCATCTGATGAGCAGCCCGATATCAACGAGTGGTCCCTACTCACAGGGCAACTCTTAAGGCGATTTGCCGGCCACACACGGCCAGTGTTGAGCATTGTCATGCTGGAACAGAAGCTCTACAGCTCCGCCGAAGACCGCACCATCAAGGAGTGGTCCTTGATCACTGGCGCCTGTGAACAAACTTTCGAAGGCCATACAGATTACATCAGCAAAATCATCATTATGTGCAAGGATGACTAGAGTGATCAGATGATTAGCCAATTCACAGCGTGGAAATGACAAGCCATGCTTTGAACCCGGAACTCAAACTTTTTTGTTCGGCGTAACCTCATTCACAGCAAAGCTGCGAGTGAGGAGATGTGGCTGGTGCAGCTCGTTACACATATGAGTTGCATCATCACGCATTTGATCGCACTGCTCGAGAAACAGACCTGCACGATCGTCCTGTGATCCGGGTGAGGATTGCGCTGTAACTCTAAGCCATTGAGTGTCATCCAGACAACATTCTTTAGACATGTTAGGAGTTGCATGCCGGTGGTATTTCGCAAAGTCCCCAAGGTGCTTTGCTAGGACATAGTGATTTTGCCGTGTGGGTGGCAGTGGCAGCTGAATCGCGACAGGAGAGGAAGTAGAAAGTCGTGATCATATTAAGTCGTAGTAGTCATTGTAGTCGCCGTCCTCGTCCTTGTAGTTGTAGCCGGCATCGTCCTCGTCGTCGTAGCCTTAGTGAAAGCAGCAGGAATAACCGTGGGGGTGGGAGCCGCAGTGGTGCTAGTGACAGCAGCTGCAGGCAGCAGCAGCACAAATGGTTTTGCAGTTTTTATTGCTACTCATTAGCTTTGGTCAGGAGGCAGCTCATACTAAACTCTCAGCCGCGCCCAAACATTTTACCATGAACATTACTTGTTGGAAATTGTGGGATGTTTGATTTTGCTGCGGTGACCGTTTTTTCCTCAGTTTCTAGCTCAAACGCTTTGGACACATCCGCCCGGCGAATGGATAAGAAGGTGCACCGCCTTCGGCATGCCCCGACCCTGAGCCCGTGTTATCACTTGATTCACACTCAGATGGACAGTTTGCACACGTTAAAGTAGTGCAAACTGCTGTTTGGAGCTTGAAACTCTAAGGAGGTCGGACCTGGGCTGACATTTGATGTCCAACTTTGACAAAGTAAATCCAGGAGCTGTCTTTCAGGCGGGAGGAGATGAACATTTGTGATGAACATGATGTGTGGCCGTAGCTTATAGGACTAGACATAACTAAAATAACTAAAACATAATCTGCCAGGCTGAGTGGGCCAAATGGCAGAAGCAGCTGCGGGAGTGGCGCCAGTCATATGATGCACCTGGGAACAATCATGAAGAGTAGAGTTGCAGTTTAAGACCTGCAAGAGAAGGCGTGTGACAATCTATGACGGATGAGAGGGGTTACAGGTGCTTTTTGCGTGTAAAAATGTGTAAAAACAACTATATGGATATATGATATGCATAATATTACATAATTACACATCTCTCTCTATATATACATATTTGATTCAACAATTATACATATATATATATACAGTATATATATCAAGTGTGTATTACAATCAAATGTTGAAGTCGTGGCGATGTCGCGTTTGGTAGGAGAGAAGACAAGACAGCGGCAAACAAAACGCCGTTCGCACGGGCAAACAAGTGGGGAGACAGGTCGGGAAACAAGTAAGGAGAAAAGGCGGCAACGGCAGACAAAACCCCAATTACAGCAGACTAGCAGTCACGAAAGAAAGAAAGGGGATGTGCGCATATACATGATGAGGATTGATGAGGTAACTAGAGGTGTTCATTCTGAGGGTGACCTCGTTCACCCTCTCGTTCACCCTCGTTCCGATACCTTTGTGCAACTTGTGTGACCTAAGAATTTTCCAAGGAGCCTGGTCCAAAGAGATGTCAGGGGACCACGCGGAGATTCTTAGATCATTGCTAAACCATTGTGTTTCCATGCAAGAAGCTTGTTGTGAAAACATGACAGTTGTGCTGGGGAAGGAACTTCAGAACACATCCAAAACATTGCCAAACCATTCCACTTCCATGCGGGGAGCTGGTTTTTGCAAGGGCTATGCCGGCACTCCCCTCCTGGAGTCGCGTTTTCGTGGCGGAACACATTTGTTCCTACTATGCCATGACTTCCGCGGTCGAGTGTATATAGTTATTCGCAGTTATGTATACAAAATAAACATCGATTTCGGGATGTCTCCGATTTCGCATTGACGTTCACGACTTTCACCAGTTTGCCTCCTGACTCCAATATACCCACTAATACAGGGAAAGCTCCATTGGAAACCCCATCCAAGAAGTGTCTCCGGCTTCATCCAGTTGACCCGCTGTGCCGACTTAATTTTAGAAGACTTCTGCATGCTTATCCGTGTGGAGACTTTTCTTAGGAGTGGCGCCAAGTCATCCAACAGCTACAGGAGTGGGATGAAAAGGTGGGGCCTAAGAGAGCTTGTTTAGAGTTTAGCGTTTGCAAGCCCTACTAGTTCAAATTTAGGAACCACATGAATAGTGTGAACGCTTCTTCAAAGAAATTCCAGTGGAAATTCCACCCACCGCCCTAAAGGCTGCGGGTGGGGTTTCCTTGAAGAAACGTGAACTATCCTGTGTCATCCTGTGTCCATGTTACTAGTGGCTTAAGCAATGTACGAGCTACCTCTCCCTACTTAATTAAGTAGGGAGAGGGGGGAGCGGGCTAAAAAAATGAAAAAACATTTTTGACATAATAACCCTGCCAACTGCATCAGGAAAGCAAAGGCGTGCATGGCCAGCTGGCCTCCATAGATCCCAATTTGGATGTTTTTGCCATTGACAACATTATGGACATCGGCGAGGGTGAGCCGCTCTTTGGAAGCTTTGAATATGAGGACCACAAATTTGTCCTTTGATGTGCTGCTAGGTTTTGTACAGCATGCATGGCTCATTGGCATGGCGGCATAGCCTTTTGGCAATCATAGTTCGTTGGAGGACTGGCTGCTTCTCAGCACCAAGGTGGGGTACTGTTCCAAGTTAATTGTGTCAACATGCCTGGCAGTTATTGTTACTGTGACGGCAAAGATCAGCGGGTCTCGACTGCAATTGTATTGTTCTCATCAGAGCCCTTTTTGAGGTGGAGCTTCACTTACTGGTGCACCACTTTCGGGATGATACCGGTGGAGCAGTTCTGGATGAGAAGCTCGGATTCGTACATATGTAATATTGCATGAGTTGCAGACATCCAGCATCATCCAGCATCATCCAGCACACCTGTAATGCAATTTCTTTCGAGGTCCAACCTTCAACATTACTACAAGACGTACTTTCGGCGCGAGCTGAAACTTGATGACTTCGCGGTAGGATACTCAGAACATCTCAGGGCAGCGAGCCGAGCCTCTCAGATCCAGTTTTAATTTGCCCTGGCCTTTTTTCCTGTTGCCTAGGCAAAGTCTGCAGCCGAAGTCATTGAACTGGTCCAGGAGTTGTAGATACTGTAAGGGAACAGGAAAGTCACAAGATTACTGTAATTATTGTAGCTGATATAGCTAATGTGTTTGGAACTTGTGGTGTTTAGGCTAGGGGTCCAGCATGTCATTCATTTGATTTCTCGGATTCCTCTGTCAAGCTTCAGTTCAGGAAACACCTTTGTTTTTGTCCTTATTCCCTGGGGGTTGATATATCACGATGATTTATTATCGATTTCCCCAGCAAAGCACAAATTCACTGGAGGACTGGAGGAATGAAAAAGGGCCGTGGCATGAACTTAATCACCCGAATAGTTTCTCGCGAATGACATTGCAGGGGAAAGTAGCACGAGACACAGAGGATAGCGATCAGTCGATACTTCGTTTGGTTGTGTACATGTTTGATGAACACGACGCTAAAAATTGAAGAATAACAGTCTGCTTTGGTACAGCCACTGCCACCAGTTGCTATGCCACTATGCATAGTTGTTGGATGGCAGGATTCGGTTTGCATTGAAAATGCCCTGTTGGACTACAAGCTGCCTGAAGACACGCCCTTCGTGCATTTCTTGCGGCTTGTCATGTGGGTTTGAAGCTAACCAGTATTCAAGAAAGTTGAATTATGCCATGCTCATTTTGAGAACTTGCAGAGTTTCTTGTTGTTTCCTGTCCAAGCTCGCAGTCTTGACTTGAGCACCTTGAGCCGAGGAAGATGACAGAGCCTTTTGGCACAAAGTTGAGAGATTTACTTCTTGTGCATTGCAGTGCACTTCCGTACGCACGGCACCTGTTTTCATGCCATAACCCTTAAAATCAATAACATTGACATATATATATATATATATTTCAGTATTGTTTACCTTGACCTTGGTTTTACTCCGTTTTTAAGGCAAAAATAACTAGACGACGGGTGGCCCGAGAGCGAGACATGTGATTGTCCAGTACTGTGGAAAAGATATCGATAAAGAAAGAAAGAAAGAAAGGATGGACGTGAAGGAGTGACAGTGTGGATGCGCAGGTGTCATACAGATGTGTAGATGTATGGAGGTGGAGAGGTAGATCTGTGGATGCGAGCGTGCAAAGACGTAAATGGACAGAGGCGAGAGAAAAGATATATCTTAGATTCGTAAGAAGTCAGTCGCTCTTCAAACGGCTCAAGACAAGTCAGTCTCATTTCAAGACAAAAACGAAGTAAACCGTCAGCACGTCGAAGCGCACACAAAATGGATTTGTGTGTGCTTCATCCTGGTCCCAAAAACAAGCGGCGAGTAGATATCCTGCGAGCAGAGGCTCAAAGCAAATCAGTTTGACTTCAAGTATCAGACACAGAGAAAGTACGCGGTAAGTGTGCTTCAAGTCATCATCTCCACTCTCGCGGATAGGCCCTTCAAAGCACCAACACTGCGACCTGAGAGCAAACGACATTACGATCAGGACAAGCGACTCGTGCGTTCCAACTGCGCATCGATTGTCGCGCAGGTGAAGTAGACACATATCAACGTCACGTCCCTTTTTCCGGCAGTCGCGGATCCCGTCGTCTAAGCGATGATGTCGCAGTTTCGTCCCGAACGGTCTCGACGGACGACCCGCGACACAAATTAGTCTCGGTGTGCAGCGCTGAAGTCTCTCTGCCATTCCGAGAAGGTTGCGGAGGTAGATCTGCGGCGTTTCGTGCGAGACTTCTTCCACAAATGAAGCACCAAGTCTCCAAAACCAGCATTTCCTACGAGACTTCCTCCAAACGTGAAGCGCCAAGTCTCCAAAACGAGCGTTGCGTGCGAGACTTCCTCCAACAGTGGAGCGCGACTAATCCAAAACGCCCTTTCACCTGCATTTCCCGCACTCGACACGCACGATCTCCGCAGAGGGTTGCGCCGGACCGGGCCGTTAACGCACTCTCGCCTGCATTTCGCGCGCTCGATGCGCAGAGGGTTGCCCGCGACCGCGACAAATCGCACTCTCGCCTGTATTTCGTGCAGTCGACACGCACGATCCCCGCGGAGGGTTGTCCCGGACCGGGGCAAATCGCACTCTCGCCTGCATTTCGTGCAGTCGACACGCACGATTTCCGCAGAGGGTTGTCCCGGATCGGGGCAAATCCCACTCTTGCCTGCATTTCGCCCGATCGACGCGCACGATCTCCGCAGAGGGTTGTCCCGGACCGGGGCACATCGCACTCTCGGCCCTCGGCTGCATTTCGCGCAGTCGACACGCACGATCCCCGCAGAGGGTTGTCCCGGACTGGGGCAACTCGCACTCTCGCCTGCATTTCGCGCACTCGACACGCACGATCTCGGCAGAGGGTTGTCCCGGACCGGGACAAATCGCACTCTCGCCTGCATTTCGCGCACTCGACCCGCACGATCTCCGCAGAGGGTTGCCCGCGACAAAGCCAAATCGCACTCTCGCCTGCATTTCGCGCACTCGACACGCACGATC